CACGTGTGAGACCTCGTGCCGATGCGTTTCCAGCGTTGGCAAGAGCTGTTCGATTTTTCGGCCATTCTCATGTACGTAGGAGTTGACAGATATCGAACCCAGAGATTCAGATATCAAGTGAGAAACGATGACCTTAGAGCAGGCCAGCAATCTATTATGAGTTCAGAGAGTCATAGTGCGCAGTGCGAGAGGAAGCAGGTAGGCAATCAGACATGAATGATGCAGTCATCTCAAGAAATCCCAGCGTTGCGAAGTTATGATAATTCTCTAAATCCCTCCAACCGCCAAGACTGTAGGACGAGAGAACTAGAGGATACTGCGTTAAAAAAGAAAGGAATATCAGTTAAGTTCCCCGAAGCAATGGAATTCCCTGGGAGCAAGGAAGCAGGGGACACGAGATCAGGGACAGATCAAGAGTCATATATGAGACTGAAGGAGAGGGGTAGGGTAGGGTGGTGCCCGCAAATAACGTGACTGGTAAAATACATGGGTGGGTTGAAAGGCTGGCAATGGGAGGGGTCGAGCCCTTAGCGGTAACGTGACTGGTGACGCGTAAAACGATCGCCACGGAAGATTCCAAGGGGAAACCGATCTGGGTCCCTGGCCTGCTGACACGTCGCTCATGCGCCCGTGACAGTTGGGCTGTTTGCGTCCGAGCCTCCAGGACGACAGCCTTGCCCAGTGCCAGGGAGCAAGGAGCTTCAATGCCGGGCTGCAGCCTGTATGGCCCGGTACAATGGTATTTTATTAAAGCCGTAGAGACCTGTGTGAAGTTATATTATAAGTAGATGACCCCACAGTCATGTTCGCCATGGCAAGGCAGTCCTGCAAGCTCCCCTTGGATCTCTTGGGGCTGCCGCCAAGGGAAGTTGACGGTGAAGTTGATTTGCTGGCTTATATGTATTTTACAGCTCTGTGACTCCCGACGTTTTAAACAATAATTTTAAATGGGGTCATGGACTTTGAGTAATAATAAAAGGGAGAGAAAGTTTACTCAAAGTTAAGTTAAAAATCAGTACGAGGACTCTACTATCAGGAGTCCTTGCCGACGGGCCAACCCCCAGATCGCACGTGCCAAAATGCATTGCCCGAAGTGCTAACAGAGCATAGACGGGTGCAAGGGATTTGAGCGTGAGAGGGAGGAAGGGAGAGAGAGTTGAGAACGATGAAAGTTGTTGATATGGAATATCATATTAGAAGCTTGCTACGGTTGTGCTTGTTTTTCTATTCGAGTATGCCCGTCGTTGGCTTTTCGTTTCTGACCACTTTCATTCCAAGACAGAAACTTTGTGACAGCAAGAGGAAGAGCAGTGAACATCTTCTTTCATCATGAGTCGTCCTGAGCACGTTGCTCCCCCAGAGTTGGTATTTTTGTCTTTAATCCCTCGTTCATTCGTGACAAAACAAAATCAGTTCTACTCGAGAGATGAGGCAAAGAAATATGCAACAAGGTGAGGCTCATACCATCTGCTTGCCTCAGCTTACCTTTCTTGGAAGCTCTCGTATGCGTGAAATCCAGACTTCTCTGACCGAACGCGCAATCGAGCTGTTAGCACTTCCTGATGAAAACAGGTTTGTGCTGTGCTGGGCGAGCCGTTGGGTTTGACGTACAGTGGAACAGCTATGTGTTAGACATAGGATGTGGTAGCGGTCTCAGCGGTGAATGCCTGACGGTAGTCCGTATCATTATGTTGTTTGATTCTCATTTCTACCTTCAGGAAGCTGGCCACGTATGGGTCGGCTGTGATATCTCAAAAGACATGCTCGGTCTTGCCTAGCTGAGCAGAGTTACCAAGTTGCTGACGCCAACGGTCTTGCAGAAGTTTCCAAGGAGCAGGAGGTAGAGGGGGACGTGATCCTAAACGACATGGGCCAAGTGAGTTCCTGACGAGGACGGACGCTCGTCCTTACTCGTCTGAGGACGGACGCTCGTCCTTACTCGTCCTTGGGTCTGACATGATGGTCCAGGGTCTTCCCTTCCGTCCAGGAACCTTCGATGGGTGTGTTAGCATCTCAGCCATTCAGTGGCTCTGCAACGCAGAGACAAGCACATCGAATCCTTACAGGCATGCTCGATCGACATCCCTGAGCTTCCTGACAAGGGGTGGCAGGAGGCTGCTGACGTTCTTTACTTCCCTCTATCGTTCGCTCGTCCAAGGAGGTCGTGCAGTTCTGCAGTGGTACCCCGAAAACCCTCAGCAGATGGAGTTGGTGACATCTTGTGCCATGCGATGTGGTAAGTCTCTCTCCTCCCTGCTCCTCTTCTCGACTTTGTATGCCTCGATCTCTTGTCGCTTCCCCAAATCCCATCCCTTATTCATTCGTCCTTCGTTATCGTCCCCTCCTCATACCGATCGAAGGGTTTGGAGGAGGTCTGCTAGTCGACTACCCACACTCCACTCGAGCAAAGAAGTATTTCCTCGTCATCTACGCTGGCCAGCGAGATGGTCAGATCCACAAGGCGCCCAAGGTTCTTCCTTCCATGGCTGTGCCGCGACGCTGACTTGCACAGGCTCTGGGAACGGAAGACGCGCAGAACGAAGCACGTTTTGAGAACAAGCGTGATAGGTATATGTAGTGGAAGGTAGCTGCTGCGACTGACGCTGTTGATGCAGAGCGCACAAGGGGAAGAGAGGGAGAGAAGACATCAGCAAGAAGGAGTGGGTCAAGAACAAGAAACAGAGACAGAGGGCCCAGGGCAAGGTAAGGCAGGGGTTGGAAGCCTTGCTGGGACATCTCATATTCTTTCTCAGGCGGTACCCGAGGATAGCAAGTACACAGCGCGCAGACGTGGGCCCAAGTTCTAACTTGACGAGGGTCTGGTACCCGAGACTCGCGCACTCGTCCTCATGTATTTTTGAATAATAAGAACCTGGAAACATGGCAGGGTCAACGTTTACTTGTCCTTCTTCCGAAGCAGCCCGGCAACTCGAATAAGCAGGTTGAGGACGAACAGCAGCATCAGGCCTGTACGACTTGTCACTGACCGTCCAGAGGACTTCTCTCTCCTCTCTCTCTTACCGTAGAAAGCCCACCTCTTCTTGATCTCCGTCCAGACGCTCTCGGGCAGCAAGTAAGCCATGGTGGCAAAGCAGGCCCCGAGGAAGCCGAGACCGTAGATGGCGTAGTCTCCGATACCCCAGGAGGAGGCTAGCGGACCCTGGTGCCATCCGTTCAACATGACAACCCTTTCGAAGTTCACGAGCCCTTTCCGTTTGAACTCCTCCTCCGAGAACGTCTTGGACAGCTCCAGAAGGTCCTGCTTGTTCGCCTTGTACCCTCCTTCCTTCTCAGGGAAAGTCACTCGCTCCTCGTAGATGTCGTGTGCGGCGACCCACAGCAGCAGCCGCATGAACCAGGCGATGGAGTACCTGAACGTCTCCTGCTTCCTGATCTGTGTAAGTTTCTCTGCCATCTCGTTCCCGCTTAGCTCGTCCGCAACGAGGTCGATGGTACGAGCCTTGTACTGCTCGTACTTCCTCAGCACCGTGGCAGCTGACGCCCCCAAGTCGTGCAGTGAGACCCACTGCTGCTTCACGTCGGGCTTCACGAGCCCCGTCATGCAGCCTGACTTGACCTTGCTGAACCTGGCCCAAGTCTCGTAGAAGCTTACAGGCCGCAGGATGGTCCAGGAGTTCTTGGACGCCTTGAGACAGTCTTCGATGTTCTTCTTCGATCTGTGATACTTGGGCCGGTTCTCCTTGTCGCAATTAGCCACTGAGCTGTAGACGATATGGGTAACTTTAGCTTCTTCCGCCGCCTCCACAATGATCCTTCCTGACTGCTCCTCCACTTCAGCACTGATGGCGTATCCATTGGACGCGAGCGATGGCGTCGACATGGCGAACACGACGACTTTGTAGGACTCATTGTCCTTCATTGGAGTCTTAAACGCTTCGACAAGTGAAGACTTGTTCTCTAGGTCACCAGCGATCACCTTCACTCCTGGAAACACCTGCGACTTGTGAGCAAAACCCAACACACCGCACACATCCTCGTCCCTCCTCCCCATGAACATCACCTGCTCGAACTGCTTCGACCTCGGATTGTTCACATCTACAATCTGAGGTCAGCAAGGGGCAAGAAGCGCGATTTCATGGTTCACCGCGTGTCACCACGTAGATGTCTTTGATGCTACAAGAGTATAGGTACTTCACCACATGGCTACCTTGATTGCCTGTAGCTCCCAGGATGACGTAGGCGATTTTACCGCTCATGGTTGATCTGGCTTACAAAATGTCAGCTCCTTCACAACTTTGGTCATCGTTTTCTTTTCGGGCTATCGCGTCCTCTTTTTTCGATATCTCTTCTGTTCTGTAAGCTTTGCCAGCCGCGTCCCTTGTTATCTTCTGTGACCTGTTCTCTTCCTTCTTTTCTCTCATCTAAGAGATAATCCTTGCTCCTCCCCTCTTCTCTCCCCTCTTCTCTCCCCTCCTCTCCCCTCCTCTCTCCCCTGTCCCATTTGCTCCTTTTCTCGTTTCGTCTTCTCTTACATCTATTACCCCACCCCCTAATTCCCCTGCTCGGTACATCCTATCTCGTGCACCCCCTCTATTGACCTCTAAGTACCCTACACGTTTCCTTTGGACACCCACCCCTTGCTTCCTAGCATGGTATCAAGTAACCACAGAAGATGTCTGACCGAAAATCGGAGAGACAACAGCGAAAATGCTCCATCGCAGTTGTGAACGGTTCCCGTGAGGGTAGTGGCAGAGAGGACGAGGACGAGGACGAGGACGAGGACGAGGACGAGGACAGAGGACGAGGACAGAGGATGGTGGGGATGAGGATCGGGATTTGGATGCTGGTGGTGGTGGTGGTGGTGGTGGTGGTGCTGCTGCTGCTGCTGCTGCTGCTAATGATGAGGTGTCAGAGGTGTTGGTGGGGTTGGTGTAGGGATCCCAGGAGAAACAAAGAATATGACCTAGCAGCTGACGACCGAATGCGAGTGAGGGGAGATAAGACATTGCGAAGTTGTTTCACACCGTTCGCGTCAAAACAAGTGTTTAGTTCGATTGCAATATGAGGGTCACTGCTAATATTCCGGAACATGACCCCAGTCTATGTTGAGGCGACACTCAGGGGATTTGTTTGCAGAAAGCATGAATCCTCCGCCTCCGCCTCCTATGGCTTCCTCTGCCCCAGCTCCTCCTCCCCCTCCTCCACTCTCTGCTCCCTGTTCTGCTCCACCGCCTACTCATGCCCCTCCCCCTCCCGCCCCCCCACCCGGTAAAGCACTTCCTCCTCCCCCACCACCTCCATCGGGCAGCCTGAAAGCTCCACCCCCACCTCCTCCTGGCTCCGTCAAAGCCTCTACCAGACTTGGTGGGTTGAAGTCATCTATCGTGAATCAAAGCACCAGGTTCCCCTCCCCCTCGTCCTTCTTTCTGTCCTCCTCCTCCTCGCCCTCACTCCACCTGATCCTCCTGTAGTATCTCCTTGGACAAGAGCGAGAAGTCCTCTACAGGTCTACCTGCTCGCCTTGCCATTACATCACCCTGAGAGAGCTTCAGGTTTCACCGGCTTGCACAACTTGGGTGCTACCTGCTATCTCAACTCCCTCCTGCAAGCGCTCTACTTCCTGCCTGAGGTCCGGAGGCGGGTTTACAGCTTCAGCTACGATCAGAGCATCCACGGGGAAGAAAACAGGTGTTATCTCCATCAGCTGCAACTCTTGTTTGCAGGCTTGCAGCTGTCCGACATGGCTGCGCTGTCTACCAAGAGCCTCACCAACAGGTGAGAGAGGAACGCAAGGAAACCTTGCAAGTGATGTGATGGAGTTCAGCTTTGGTTGGACGTCAGCAGATACGTTCGAACAGCAGGATGTACAAGAGTTCTTTCATGTACGTTGTGAAGCGTCTCCTGCTGTTTGTGGGAGGTGACGACCTTCAGGTCCTGTTGAACACCATGGAGGAAGATGAGCGGCAGAATACAAACCTGTCATCTCGTGAAGGTGCCTGGATCAAGTTGCACGACTTGTTTCAAGGGGAGGTTGTCAACTTTGTGAGGTGTGAGGAGATCGGGTATATGAATCTTCCTTTCGGCATTGAAGGAAAGTTGACATGGGGCACTGCAGGTATGAATCGAAGACAAGCTCGTCCTTTGTTGACATCTCTCTCAATCTCAACGGCAACTCGAACATCTTTGGTGTTTTACTCTGGTAAGAAGTCTTTGGTTGTGATGCTTGCTTGCAGATGCTTTGAAGCAGTATCACGAGGTGGTGCATCTCACAGGAGATAACAGGTCTACACTTGATGTCATGATGTCTTGTCATGATACTTGGTGTGAGTGCAGATTGAAATGCGAAGACGGAGTTCTTCGTGATGCAGGTATTACCGTGAACACTGACGGTTTTCTCTTGCTTGTTGCATCTTAAGAATTCTTCACAGTGAAAGGAAGTTTTTTCTCTCAACTGCCACAAGGTAGAACGTCTTGCGTCAGACAAGGAATTTGACTTGTAATGCCTTTAGTTCTTCTTCTGCACCTTCAGAGGTTTGTTTGGGATTGGGAGACGGACACTCGAATCAAGGTATAGAGCATTTCATTTCAGACTCGAAGATTTCATTTCATCAAGAACTTTTTCATCGATTTCAAATTCTTCCATCTCACTTTAATGTAGCTTTGCGACAAGCTGGAGTTTCCGTCAAGAATTACATCTGAAGATGTCAATTCAGTCATGAAGGCCGGCAGGTCCGTTGTCAGATATCCTTGTTGAAATTCTGTCATGGTCTGTGTTGTTAGAAGAAGACAACAGCTACAATCTCCTCCTCTCCCTCTTCCTCTTCTTCCTCTTCCTCCTCCTCCTCCTCCTCATCATCATCATCATGGCGAACAGTAATACCTCATTATCTTACCTCAGTCACCAGGTCAGAGGAGGGTCTGCCAACCAGTCAGTTCTCGGGATATTACCTACACGCTGTATTGGTGCATGTTGGTACACGAACACGAGAGGCTCTGTTTCATGCTCCTCAGCATTGACAACAGGAGGCGCTCAGGGTGGCCACTACTTCGCCTATATCCGCGTTAAGGATGGCTGGTTCGAGTTCAACGACGCTGATATCAAAGAGGTGAAGAAGGAGAAAGAAGGTAGAAGAGCAACGGTCTTGATGGGATGTTGTCAGGTCTCTCAACAGACAGTCCTCAGCACGTGTGGCTGTGATGCAGGAGTTGGTACGGGAGCTTTTCAGTGAACCTTCCTCTCCCTGCCCTGATGTTGAAGTTGCAGGAGCTGTGAAGAGGCTGAAGGCAGCAACGGCGTACATGTTGGTATACGGCAGAGAAGATGCCAGGGATGAGAATGATGTAAAAGTACCGGAGATGGTGAGAGAACGGATCGACCTTGAGAACTCCAAGGTGTTCAAGTTTTTCGCTATGAAGAAATCAGATTGACGATCCTGTCTTTAGCTGAAAGAGGCGAAACTTGCTGAGGAAGAAAAGAAAAACACAGTATTCTGCACGGTGAAGAAAAAACGTTGTTGATGGAGATAGTGGACATGATGACGATGATGGTGCTTGTGGTGACGATGATGTTGACGACGAGGATGCTGATGACGATAGAGATGATATTGTGAGAAACAGGTCAGGGGCAAGGTGAAAGGAATAGACATCGATCGAAAAGTGCAGTTGTCGAAGAAAATGTCACTTAGAACAACCTCCACGGTACTCATTACGTCAGCAATACTTCTCATGATGAAATCTGTTCTCAGACGATAGCAAGAGATGTTCTTGCAGACACAGGTTAGTCTTCTTCCATCTGACGACTTGTTCCATCTTGACTCTTGCACAGCAAACATCTTTGACAATATGGAGAGTCTCCAAGAGACTGTCAGGCTGAGGCGATGGGACGAGGCTGCTCTAGTCCCCCAGCTTCATATCCCGTGGACGTTCGACGAGTCTGACGACCTTGCTAACAAGGCTCTGATGGAGATGATGGAAGGTTTCTAGAACTTGTCGTGATGAGAAGGTCGTGTTGAGATGCTTTCTGGCTAGGAGGTGCAAACGTAGAATTTTTCCTTGAAGAGAAGCCTGCAAACGCAGAGTTTCCACCTATCTCTCTTCCTCCCCGTGGCCTGACAATCAGGGTCTGCAAGGTAGCACTAAGGATTGTTCCGACCTCCACGTTGACGTTTGCTGGCATCAGTTGCAGGAAACCACCAAACAGCCATCTGAATCAGTCTTTCTCTCCATAGACAAGGAGTCGTCTTGCCTGCAGCTGGCCAACGATGTTGAGGTTGTACTACACCGCCGAGCCCACTGTCTTTGACGGGACCTGTCAAAGGCGTTCGTCGGAGTGCCAACAGCGAGTCAAGAATGGCTGGTTGTAGCCGACGACAATGTTGTGCAGTCGTTCCCCTCGGCGCTGGCAGACAAGACAGTGAGTCCTGAGCTTGCTGCCAGCCCGTCTTGACCCGCTGCAAGTTGCGAGATATCAACGTGGTACATGGAACTACCATCTACCTCGGACAAACCGACAGTCATCTGCAGGGCAACCAGCACAAACAAGTAATTCACTGTGATAGCACGGCTGACTTGCTGTCTGTTGTGACTTGTTGGCAGATGGTAGAAGACATGTTCTTCACAACATCAGTCAAAGTACAATGGGAAAACGGTGTTGGAGCCACCGAAGAAACAGTGAGAGGAAGAACGGGGCGATGAGCTGTTTGTTGTGATGCTTTCTTGCAAGATCTTTGCTCTAGATGTAAGATGGACAGTGAAGCAGCTGAAGGAACAACTGTCGGCGAGGATTGAGAAATCGCAGCAAAGCTTTCACCTCTTGCTGCCAGACGGGAAGGCTCTCGCAGAGGAAGAGAAGAAACTTAAGGTGAGCAAACGCAAACCTACGACTTGTGGCGAGCTGAACTGAACATGTCAGGATTGCGAAATCTCAGCGGGAGAAGCGCTAAGGGTTGTCGACGGAACCTCCAGCGTTTGCAACCACATCCGTTTCGAAGTGTTTCAGATGTCTCTTTCCGACTGCTCGCAAGCTTACAAGGGACTTGTCGACTTCCCTCGATCTGCTCAGACCTCCTCCTTAAGAGACAAGGTAGCCCACATGCTCAACATCCCGACGGCACAAGTGTGCATGCGCAGGGTACGTCTTGTCCTCCGCTCCACCTACTCTCTCCCCCCCGCTACCTCCTTCTCTCTCCCCGCCTCTCGCCCTCCTTCCTCCTCGCCCTTCCCCCACCCGCCTCCCTCACTCCCGCCCTGCTGCTGCTGGCTGACGTTGACGACAAGGACACTGGTGGGTCGCTCAGCTCGATACTCCTTGACGAGCACAAGCTCGAACGTCTGCCAGCGAGCAACCGTCTGATCGTGCATGTAAGTGCAGAGGGGGGAGAGAGCGACAGGTCAGAGCTTGTTCTCCTCACTGATGCTTCCAACAGGTGCAGGAGGAGAAGTTGAGTGAAGACAAGTCGACTGATGTGTTGTTCGTGTATGTAAGGAGACTGGAGACGGACGCAGGAGACCATGGAAGTGACGGCAGCAAGGCATGGAAAGGTCGCCTCAGTCCCTGCTGCCATGTCCCTATCCACAAGAGCTGGAGCATCGAGCAAGCTGCCGCGAGACTCGTTCAAGTATGTGCTACCAGTAGACCTTCTTCTGTTCCTCCCACTTCCTTTTATTCTTCTCTTCTCCTCCTTGCTTTCCTCCTTGCTCCGAATCCTCCCTCCCTCCCTGATCCTTCTTCTGCTCCCCTTCATCTGCACTCTTTCTCCTCCCCTCTCCCCTCTCCTCACTTCATCCTATCAGGTCTTCTCTCTGTCTTGTCCTCCCCGCGACCTCGCCATCATCCGAGTGCCTTGGGGTACTCCCATGGACGCTCTTTCCGTCGCCAAGCTCGCTTGGCGCGCGTCCGAGGGACAGGTCTTGGACATGGCCGCTGGGGTAGGAGAGAACATTCGAGAAGGTTCTCTGCTGTTTATCCGGGTATGGCCTTCTCTGCAATGGTATGCCGGGGATTTCTCATGGTGTGAACAGGATCCCAAGGAATGGCTGCCGGCCTTGAGTCAACAGGACACGAAGGTGCTCATGAAGCTGAAGCCTGAATTGATCTCTTCGCTGAGTTTGTTTCAGGAAAGAGGAGTATCGATCGCCAAGTTGAACCAACAGCCACCCATCTCTCCCCCCCCTCCCCCTCCTCCTCCCCCTTAGTTAACGCAAGCATGGCATGCAGTCGAAACACTCCCTCTACCTCGCTCTTGCCTTGTTGCTCTCAGAGCTTGACAGACTCTCCACTTCTCTCACCTCATCGTGTGCTCTCACATCAGCCTTCTCATCAACGTCTCTCTCCTCCCTCGCCTCCCCCCCCCCCCCTCCTCCCCTCCTGTTTTTCGCTCTTAAAAGAGCATCTCTCAAATTCCCTCCGTACCCCCTCCCTGCCAATTACTCCTTACTACCGAATACCCCTATTGATACAGTGAAAAGTATGGGTACTATGTAGCCAATTTCCACCCCCCACCCCAAAGATACCACAGCCCCCATTTGATTGTCGATCTCCCTTCTCGCCGAGCCATGGCTGGCAAGATACATCCCCTCCTCCGCACATCTTCCTTCCTACCGCCCCCTCCTCTCTCCTCTCTCCTCTCTGCTCTCTCCTCTCCCCTCTTCTCTCTGCTCTCTCCTCTCTCCTCTCTC